TTCGGATTTCACAAGGCACGGTGAGGTGAAACTGGGCAAACGCACACAGGGGAAGAAAAGTATTGTGCTTGCATGACCTGGGTCATGGATGAGCAGCAGGAAGGTGCAGCACTAAAAACTCATCAAATTTAGCCATACCCAGCGTGACTGAACAGCACGTTACAGAACTAACTACACTAAAAAATATTATCTACCAAAGTAGCTAAAACCAGAAAAGTAATTTTCTGTTCCTAACTTCTGTACCTAAGCATCACCTTAGAATACTAAGTATTGATTGCAGGTCTTGAAAGCAGTCACAGGGAAGATGATTGTTGTGATTTGTATACCCCGTTCAGGAACATGGTGTTCCCCCGACACGACTGTTCCAGCTACCTTAGGTAATGTCAAGGGAAGTCGTATTTTTCTGTGTGTTGTTCAAGAGACAAAAGAATGTCCTGTGCCAGTGAAGAGCATTAAGGAAACAAATACTGCCAGATGTTTACTGAAGTATAACCTGCCCTTAAACCAGACATTTGAAAACATGCCTTCGGTACCCTGCCATATCTTAAGACTGTCTGCAGTAGAAGGACCTGGCAAAACAGCTGGAGAAAATCATTGACCAAACTCCTGGCTGAGTCCCTGAGCACGAGCTGTTTGATTTGTACCTGTTCCCAGGATTTCCATCATTCTGTCTATCGCTGAAACTTCACTGTATGTTTGAGAGCCATCATCAATGTTTAAGAAGCATTTGAGCTGTATATCCAAATACAAAACCAGTGGCTGCTGTTGGACACCTACTATGCACCATTTGCACTGGATAAAGAGTGTTTGTGTGGGGAGCTGAAGAGATGTGCTTAACTCAGAAATAGCTCTCTTCCTTGGAAAGCTTAAGGTCTGAATCACACTGTGTTGGCTCAGTTTTTAGCAGACAAGCTATCACATATGCCTCCCTGTAGGCGAAGAGTCGTCACTGGCATCAGGATTAGCAGCCAGGTTCTTTCCCTTTGAAAAGTAGAGATTAACGATACTGAAGGCTACGGCTGACTTTTAAGCGTAGTCAGGGCAGGAGGAGGCCTGGGACTGGAGGCTGGGGGTGGTGGGCTAGCAAAACTGGGAGCAGGAAGGGTCCACTCCATCCGTGCTTGGCTTGCACTGGCCCCCGTGTTCCCCTCGGTTCTAAAGGAGCCAGATAACATTCCCCAAGTTGAGCTTTGTTATTGCAAAGATGGGGATAAAATAAGTTATTTAGCTCAAAATCCTTGAGACGTTAACCACTCCACTGCCAGCTGTGAAGCTGAGAAGACCAGAGCCAGCCCTCGCGTACCCGTGGTTGGGTGCCCTGAGTCAACTGAAAATACTAGTGACATGGACGAATAGGAACACTGGAGAAAAACGTGGAAACCTGGGAGGGGACAAGACAGCTATTGAGCTATCTGAAAGTGAAAGCACACGAGAGACAGCACTAGCTTGACAGACCCTGGTGAACTTAGGGCAGCTTGCGGAGTCCACTGAGAAAGACTACAGGAACAGAAATGCGAATACGTACAGACATTTTTTTTCTTTTTTTCCTGGAACGCAATGTAAGTTGATGCCTACTCCTTAAATACATGCCACTCCCGATGCCCAGCAGTCCAGAGGAAGTCTTGGGGGAAAAGGAGATGAGGGAACTAGTGCAAAATTTTTGTACTTAGCCTAAGAAACAAATTCTAGATAGGGATTTCGAAACGCTTCGGAGATGCAGAATTTTTTGGGTCTACGCTTTCGGACTCAGGGGCCCACCACTGCAGTAGCATTAATTTTTCGAGCCCCACCTCCAGGTTCAGGACTCAAACACTGCCAGTCTTGCAAGAAATGTGGACTGGGAGTTCCTGAACCAACTGGTTGCTGACAATGAGTCAGGGGAATGACCTTGCAGCAGGCAGCTCATGGCACCTCTCTCGGAGCCGTGCCAGTATAAACGGCACTGGCATCTCTGAATGCTGTTGAAACCATTTTGTGAGATTCCTGGGTTGGCCGTTTCTACTGCCGCCTTTGCACCAAAACTTTTGGGTGGGTGAGAACAGAACAGAATACTCTCTTCTTGTTCCATAGCAAGGGCATCTTTGCAACCTAGGCTTAGGACTATCTATATCTATGTACAGATATATAGAGGATGTGGGCAACTCATATCTCTTAACTACATCTCTGTCCGTTAGCATCAGCGATACAGCTACTTAACCAACTTAAATATTACCCTTGTCCCCCAGCCACACCCATAGTAAACGGTAAGGAAACACTGTGGACAAGTTTTAGAAAAAAATACACGGCAGCGGTGAATTTTCTGGGTAGGTCTGGAAGTGATTTGTAAGAGGAGTGAGGGTAGAATACTTGGCGTTTGGCCGTTTTAATGAATTTTCCCCAATAAGAAAAGAAAAGCATTTGCTTGTAGACTTTAAGCTTCTCACAGCATCAGTAAAGCTCCTGACACAGAGCCCAGCGCTGTATTTGTATGACATGGAAATTAACAGCAGCAGCAGCAGCAGCGCTGCAGGCTTAGAGTCTACTCTGTGAGCAACAAAATGGCTAGGGGTGCTGCTGCGTTCCTTCCAATTCCTTCACCGTTTGTGGGTGGGGAAATAGGTGGATGCTGATATCCCTGCCTCTTCAGGTATGGTTGCGACCTTTTAACATCAATACTAAATTAATGTTTCTAACCATATTCAAGCTTGTGCCCTCGTCAGCTCAACTCCGTAAAGCACAGACAGGAACCAACAGCAAAATTGGACTGCGTCACAGATGTAACATGACCATCGGCAAAACAAGTGCAGAAAGAGATCATGGCTGCCTCGTCAGTCAGAGCCTCCCTTCGATAACAAAGAAGAATAAGATGGTAATGCTTTTAAATTTATGTCTTGAGCATTTGCAATCCCTAACTTTCTTTACCAAATTTTGCGTTCCTTGAACAGTCAAAACTCCAAGAAAATTGCACGTATTTTGCCACCAGACCCAACGCATTAACGAACACTGCGTCATAATGCCGCACTAAGGCTGAAAGATATAATAAACCCCACTTTTCAAAGGAAGGAACCCAGAATACAGAAAAATGAATCAGCTTACACAATGTCACACACACAAGTGTCAGGGGGAGGAAGAAATCACAGCTTTCCCAAGTCCTTTTGCGGCAATACGCAGAAAACCCTTATGGAACAGTTAGCCATGTACAGTTACCATACACTAACAATACCATCCCTGTGCGCAAAATCGCGACCGTCCTACAGAAATATGCCGTGTCCCCTTCTTAGCCTTGTTTCTTGCCAGTCCCACAGATTTACCTGCTGACAGTAACCTCAATTCCTGAGTAATGAGATTTACAGCTGAAGTTTAACATTGAAATAACTCCTCTTTTATCTGTCTCCTTAACCTCCCTGCGTCTAGCCACAACTAAACTATCACTGTGGCAAAAAGATGATAGCGAAAGGAATAAAACCAAATGCATCCCTGCACTGAACACAGATACTCAAAAAGTACGCATATGCCTGAGCAGGTATGCCGGCTGCCAGTTGCACCTCCTTCCAGAGGACTGAGAAATGCCATTAAGAAGCACTACCTTTGCAAATTAACGGGGTCCTCCACCCCACAACCGTGATGGGGGAAAATGCAAAGGGTTGTCCCTTCGGCCAGCACTCTGTAAAACAGACTCAACCCACCCGTCGTCCATGCAACCAAGCACCGTTTCTTAGTCCAGCTCCCGGCTGTACAGAATTACCTCAGCAGCTGCCGTGTACTGTTGCTCTACCTGTGTGTATTTATGCCTGTCTGTCTGTCTTGCTGCAGGGACCACCGTTGTTGCTGCTATTCCTGTTGTTCCCCTGCTCTGCGGAACTGGCGCTGCAGGAGGCAAGGATGCTCCAAGGGAGGCAGCTACAGCCAGCGAAGGCTCAGTGAGTCAGGAGGGGTTGTGACGACTGCAGTAAGAGTCTGAAATTCCCTATGGAATCTGGCAGAAAAGGAGGGGAGGCAAGAAAGGTGGAGATGGGAAAGAGGAAAAAAAGTGGGGAGTGGCACCTACTGTCTTGTTTTCTGTTTCCCTCCCCGTTCCTACCGCCGCACTGCCGTTGGAAACGGCATCCTCCCCTCTACGGCACTGCGCAAAGGAATGGAGTCGGGGATAAAACCGCAGCGCCTGCGGCCTCTGTAACCGAACAACCAAAATTTGGCCGGGGTGGGTGTCCGTGCGTTCGTACAGCCCTTCTCTCTGCCTCTCTCTCAGGGTGCCGGTCAGAGGACAGGCTGCTGCTGGAGCGATGGAGACGGCGGACGCAGTATGTCTGAGCCGGTTCCGAACCCAGCGGTTGTTGCTAAACAACCGGACCTGATGCTTGAGATGTCAGCGAGTGAGTAATACAGATTAAATGCTTGTGCTACCATATCCTTAAACTTGTTTAAGCCTCAATATGATGAAAGGCTATGGTATAATGTTCCCTGCTGTACGAGAAAGCAAAGTTACCGCTCCACTGCATAATCGGGAGACTTCCTCGGCCAGAAGGACCAAGCTCAAAGCTGGTTGTGTCCTCAGCACTTCCAGGCAGAGTTGCCATCTTCATTGCTGGTCGCTTTAAGAAGAGAGGTGAAAAAATAGTATAGTAAATGGTTAAGAGAGAAGAATGTTCTCCCCTTCATTTCCTCATCCTCGCTCTGGAGCTGCTCTCTGCCCTCAGTCTCCCATTCATCCTTACCCCATCCTTCCCAATCCTCCTTCGGTCCCTGCTTTCTAACGCTGGTATTTCTTTTGCAGACTGTTCCAGACCCGTCACTTCGGGCTGTCTTCAGCCCTCACCGAGCCTGTGGCAAACTCACGCTTTTGCAAACGAAAGCGGAGTTTGGGCAAGAGACTTTTTCACTTCTTCAGTTATTCCCACGACATAATTTCCAGGTGCGATCCCTGCCCCGAGCAGTTGACAGTCCTGCTGACGCTTAACCACCTTATAAGGGAGAAGCAGGAAAGCAAGCAAGCGAGGAGAAAAGCCCCAAACCCCAGGACTTTCCCCTTCCCGGTGGTTTGCAGCTCTGACACGTCACCGTCACGACCGCTGGGCGAAACGAAACCTCCGTGGCACCCGGCTGCCGGGAGCCGAGCGGGCAGGGAACGGGCAGGGAACGGGCAGAGAGCTGCCGGCACTTTGAAGCGAGTGAAAATCAAGGTTGAGATTTGACACCCAGTCCTCGACCAATCCGGGAGGGCTTTTCACCTGCCATCACCTCCTCCGCCAATGGGAGGGCGCCTTTGGGCCCAGAGCCCTCCCCGGCCAATGGGGAGCCGGCTCCGCCACTTAGTTAATGATGCAGCAGTACAGGGAAGACTATCACATGTGAGCTGGAAGGCTGCCAACATGGAGACACGGAGAGAGCAAGGTAAACAACTTTCCAACGCCAAAATGATGACATTTAATCCCTAAATGCTAGCTTCCCGTCTCGACTCATCCTTAACCCCTTTCAGCTGGTGTGGAAGCGTCTGGAAGGCACCGTCTACCTGTCCCCAGTGCTTTTAAAAACTGGCCGACGTGCCCTGCAATGATCACTGCGTCACCGTTTACCACTTTGCGAACTACGCAGTGACAAACCTCCAAGCTCTGAAACGCAGAGCGCCTGTTAACCCCTCCACCAAACCCTTGCCACCGTGCCAGCCTCTAGAGAGACGGAGGGGAATAAAAAGCCCAGACAAAACACGAAAACAGCAGTCTTTGCAAAGTTGTCATCTCTCCCCCACGACTACTACCCTCCTCTGCAGTACAGCAATGCCGACAAGAGTGACATTAGTACAACCTGTGCCGTCGTTCCATTGAGAAAACAGCTCTGACGCAGAACAGAGCAATCATACCCAGCCAAAATAATAATACAGGCACTTGGGGATCCGGACTTAGGGACGCCGGGGGAAAGGGACGCCCTGCAAATAATTAAAATACGTAGATGCAGCTCGAGCCCCATCCTGATCAAAGGGTACGTACGTGGGAAAGACGAACCGGACCGAAGAGCTCTGCCCGTGCACCATCTGCGCAGTCCTCAGCCCTCCGCTCGCTGTGTAGCGCCGCAGAATAGAAGGTTCCAGAAATTTCCTTTCCGTTAACCCTTTCGGTGTCTGCCCACTCTCCCTCCCCGCGGGATTAAGCGCGCCGGGTCTCCAGCATCGTCAATGGGCGAAGCCTCCTACGCCAACCGAGCCCAAATACGATCTTAAAATGAGACTGGAGGGTGGCAGGAGCCCAGTCCCTGGTGTTGGTGTTACTTCTCTTTCTGGAGCCCTCTCTGCCTCTCTTGCTGCCTCTCTCCCCTCTTGCTGCAGCAGGGCTGTTGCTGGTAGACCTATCGACGGAGCTTGCTCTCTCACTCTCTCGCTGAGCTCTGTGACGCAGCTCTAAATTCTCCAGCCTGCTCCCTGTGTTATAAGAGCGGAACTGCAGCTTTCCAGGGAGCCCGTGCCAGCGGTGCCAGGGCCAGGCAAACCGAGGGGAACGTCGCTCCTGGACTCTGCACCTTTTTTTGGTAATTATTATGTTCCTCACCTCTGTTTCTGTGCTTCCTCCACGGCTCTCAGCCTCGCATCTCCTTCTCTGCTTCTGAGTCATGCTTACTAGGTTAACTCTTTTAGGATTGGTAGTCAGCAATACAAATCTCAAACAAGCGCAGCTGAAACCACAGCCAACTTTGTGGTGGTTTCTGCTTTAAAAAAACCAAAGCAAATCTTCTTGGCTCTAAAAAACAAAAACACACACACACACACACACGCACACACACGTTCCAGTAGCGAGTTAGTGCTTTTTGATTAACTGTTTCGGTGACAGGAACCACTACTTGACTTCCTAAAATAAAATATTTCAGGCCTACGTCTTGCAAATACTCAGCAGGCAGTTACCCTGGAGCACAAAACAACTTAAAAGGAACTGCTCGCACGAACGAACGCAGGTCTTCTGGCCGTAAAAGCAGGAGGCTGCCGCCAGACCCACGCGGCGCTGCTGTGCTGGCCGCAAGACTCTGATCTGGATGCGGTTCGGCCACCGGGCAGGTGCGTGGTGTGACATCAGGTACCGAAAGTGCTGGAAAGTGATAGGCTCTTAGTCCGAACAGCATTAATAAGTGTTACCACACACACAGATTCATAATGCTCAGCGTAGGCAGGGGAGCTGACTGCGTTCCTGGAGTCGCCAGAATCCAATATTCTCTGTCAAAGAAAGTCCAGGGACAGCGATGTGCTTCAGCACAGCCGGCGTCACCAGGCAAGAAACATTTGTGCAGATGGACGCTCTGGCTGTCCTTGCCTCTGCCCCCGAGACCGCCCCTGGCATTAACGCTGGTGCCTTCAGCAACTTCAGCCGCAGGCAGGGGCAGCAGCGCTCGCCCGGCTTGGGGCCTCAAACCCGGAAAACGCGGAGGAGGATGGGTGGTAGATACGGCATCTGGGAATCAGAGAGAAGCTAATGGAGAGCCAGCACTGTGTGAGGGAGGCCGTGCGTCAGTCTGCATGTACAAAAGAGCAAGCGAGAGAGCCAGCAGTCCATTGGAAAAACACCGAATCAAGGGAGAGATCACTACTACACAGCTACATCTGCCATTTTAATTCCAGACTTCAGAGCTGGCTGCGAGCTTTGGGTTTTTCACTACAACCAAAGCTGAAGTAACCACTATTTTTTCTCTTCGCAGCGTCTGAAGAGCCTGAGCTATTTTGGGATTTGTCTGTACTACACTGAAAATGACACCTGTTACGCACAGACACAAATGAGAAGAATTGCAAGCTCCCGGTTTCTCAGATATGATTCTACCAAAAAAAAAAGAAAAAAAGTTCCTATGAGCTCGGGAGCTGGGGAGCAGCACGGGCTGTCCCTGTGGGGTGAAGGGGATGACCCTTGTGAACTGAGCACCGGTACAAAAAAATGTAAAAGGTCTGCGGTAGCTGATGCAAGGGGAAATCAAACCTCCCTGGGACCAAAAGAAGTAGTGCTCGATCAACTAAATGCCACAAGACGTGGTTTCTTATGCAATCAAACCCGTGGGACTTCAAGCCTTACATATACGCTGGGTGGCCAAAGCTGCAAGCATTAACTACTTCAGTTAATGAAGGTAAAATTGTAAGAGCGCTACGGCTACTTGAATGAGTCACCCAGCAGCGATACTCGCCAAAGTAGGGCAGTGTTTTGTGTGATGTTAAGCTGTCTGTGCTGGTTTCAGTTACCCCCGCGTTATCTCGGGAGCTCCACCGACGCGCAGGGTCAGAGTGGATTTTCCACGTTCCCCATTTCCCCGTCGGTGTGGGTGATGTACAACACCCCCGCGCCGCCCAGGCCGGGCAGAACCCATCTCGCTGGACCCGCGAGACCCAGAGAAGCTCTGGACACGGTTGCGTACGGCACTGTAGCGAGATAAAAGACTCGGAGGCTCAGAAATGGGACGGTTGACTGGTGCTTTTAGCTGACAGCGATGTTGTCAGTCTTGTGTTATATTAAGAAAGTAAAATGGAGCTTTGATTTATTTCAAATTATATCTTTTTGGTTGCTTTCAGGGGAAAGGCGGCATTTATTTTATGGTTTACTTTCATTTGAAAATGACCAGCCATGGAACATTTCTGCCTTTAACCTGACTGTAAGTATTTACTTTGTGGTGGCACTGGGGCTCGCAGGGAGACTCAGAGCCGCACTGCGCTGGGAAACACTCAGGTGCGCGAGTAAGGGAACATGGCACAGCCGCAAGCGTCAGCACTCGGAGCTGAATAACGAGCTGTCTTCTTCCCCTTGAGTCAGTTAAATGTTGGGCAGGTTTTGGCATTTTCTGTGTGCTGAAGTGAGGAAATAGAGGCCATGATTCCATGGTAGAAATCTAGGCTGCTTTTCTGCTTTAATTGGAGCCCATGTGCATGTTTTGTTACTTTTTCTTTTCTTTTTTTTCTTTTTTTTTTAAACCTCCAAACTCTTTCTAAAAGCAGGAGGCAGAACTTTGGTTTTGTAAGAACTGAATATGAGGAGCAAAGTCCCAGGGTAGAAAACAAGCTTGGTACATATCCACGGTTGTGGAGGGAGGGAGGGAGCTCGGTCTCACCGTGGGGTGAGAATATCCACTCCCAAGGGAGGGGTGACCGAAGGGCTGACTACAGCTGTGCTGCGGGCACTTACAGCGTTGATTAAAAACAAGAAAAGAGTTTTGATAGTGCTGGACAATACAGCAAGATATCAGGACTTACACCTGGAACGGTTCGGGCTGCACATCCGGGGAAAAAAGAAATTTCTTTAGGAGGGTGGGCGGGATTGAACCCCCAACTGTCGCTGCCACCTCTGCCGTCAATGGGC